TTTCCTTCCTTCCTTCCTTCCTTCCTTCCTTCTCCCCTCTCTTTCCTTCCTTCCTTCCTTCCTTCCTTCCTTCTCCCCTCTCTTTCCTTCCTTCCTTCCTTCTCTCCCTCTCTCCCTCCCTTCTTTTTTATATGCCACCAATCTCACCTGGAGACCACTCCAGGCAGCTTATAACAAGTAAAACCAACAAAATCAAATATTAAAATGTTGCAATAATAAACATCAACGTCAAATATATATATAGACTAAACCCGTTTAATTGGTTCTAGTTCTGAAGATACATTCTTATAGTCCAGTCCAGGCAATTAAAATGGAACATTTTTGCAGTATCTCAGATTTCAAACTAGCTATTTATCAAACCCTATCAGAAAATTTATGCCAGTGGGCAAAACTAACTCATTGCAAACAGAAGGAGAAATAGTTTTTTAAAAAGTGTTATCTTCCTAGGCTCAAAAATTCACAGAAATGGAGATTGTAGCCATAAAACAAAGAGCTGCCTGGTATTTGGGGAAAATATTAATACAGATAGAGAAATGGCAGTGATAATCAAGAGACCCCCAGGATACCAGGAGCCTGGAGGCTGTCAATGAGTCTCGGAGGAAATAATTCAAAGAAATACAGTTTTCAACTCAGGATCACAACTGAGGCCAAAATTGCTGACACTATGCAGACAGTTGTTAACTGAGTTTTAACCCTAGTTTATAACGTTTCTTGCCACCATTGTTAAGCGAATCGCTGCAGATGTTAAATGAGTCACCCGGTTGTTAAGTGAATCCGGCACCCCCATTGACTTTGATTCTTGGAAGGTCGCAAAAGACGGCAACGTGACTCTCACACTCAGGACTCTGCAACCGTCATACGTCCATGCCAGTGGCCAAGGGTTGGAATTTTGATGGTGTGACCACACGGGGAGACTGCCACAGTTGTGTGAAAAACAGTCACTTTTTCAGTGCTATTGTAACGAATGGTCACTAAACAAAACTATTGTAAGTCGAGGGCTAATTGTATTCCATGACAAAATGATTGTTAGCAATAGCAATAGCAGTTAGACTTATATACCGCTTCATAGGGCTTTCAGCCCTCTCTAAGCGGTTTACAGAGCCAGCATATCGCCCCCAACAATCCGGTTCCTCATTATATCCTCCTCGGAAGGATGGAAGGCTGAGTCAACCTTGAGCCGGTGAGATTAGAACCGCTGAACTGCAGATAACAGTCAGCTGAAGTGGCCTGCATTTAACCACTGCGCCACCTTGGCTCTTAAAGGTGAGCTG